GGGTGGGTGGGAGGCGAGCATCCTCGGTAGAGCCGCGGCCCCGCGGTGGGGGGCTGCGCCCGTCTGGGTGGGGCAGACCCCGCCCCTCCCCCTCCGGCAGCTGTCGGGGGGCTGCAGCCGGGCTTATCCCGGCGGTGGGGGACACCCCGGGAAGGGAGCGGGGTGTGTCGGCCGCGGTTCCGCTTGTGCGGGCGCCGCTGGCATCAGGGGGCCCCCCGGGGAAGGGCGATCGGCTCTTCTCCCCCCCCCCTTCATCCGATGGGGCGGGCGCGCGGACCGCTCCTCCCCTCCCTCTGCTCGGGTGGGGGGTTCGCAATCGGAGGAGGTTGGGCTCCTTGACACAGTTCCGCCATGACAAAGAGAGAGCCGGGGACTAGCGCGGAGGCGCGGGGCTGGGCGGAGCCAAGGAGGGGAGGTGGTGGCGGAGGGCGCGGACGCAGGGACCGGCGCTTTCGGTTCGCCCCACCCGCCGGCCACGGGCAGTCAAGGGTTAAGTGGGTGCGGCGAGAAGTCCCGCAGTCGAGGGGCGAGGCCCGGCAGCACCCGTTTTCCTGTGAGAAACCTAATCCACTTCCCCTTATACGAGGAGCTAGGCTGGGGAACGTTTGTCCTGGGCTTACATCATTTTTTTCTATTGGAAGCCACCTTAGCCAGAGACCATGTCTGATGTTAGATTTCCAGATTCCTGGAGAAGTGTGGGTTCCCAAACTTATAAATAGTTAATGCTCTGAAGGTACCGTGTCTCTAATTTACCTTAGCCCAACGCTTGTTTCAGTTGAGGCTACTTCTCATTGATAACCAAAAAAAGGAGTTGCTTTCTGGAAAGGTGAAGGGAAGGATGTGATAATCGCCACGGTGGGTGGCAGGGACTTCTGCGGATCTTTAGCAGCGCATTCAGCTTGTGACGTTCATTAAAATTTATTTTGTGGGATCTCTGATTTGACATCGTTTAAGAAAAAAAATGAGCAGAGATAAATTGAAATCTAGGTAATTTTTAAACGAGTGAAAGAAAATTAACTGAGAAAACGTAGGAACAGGTAATATAAGTCGTGACTGCTAGAAATGAAGGGATTCTACATCTGAACTGCATTAATGATATCGATCCTCCCATGTCTTGGAGATTTCTTCATGCTCATTCATAGTAGAAATCGCATTATGGGAATTTGCTACATAAGTACATATAACAAATGCCAAATGCCGTATAAATAAATGGATTTGGTCTTGGAAGTGATCCCTAGTGCTTTTATAGTCAAGATGTCTTAAAGCAGCAATTAGTCATTTTCTTGATAATTTTTATTCTATGATAGCTGGCAAATGTTATAAGTGTAGTAGATTGGGGTTGGGGCAAATGCTAAGTAAAATATAATCACTCCTGATAAGAATATATCTGAATTACATCACGGTGACATGACTCATAATTCTAGAAACTAATGGTTTTTATAGGTAGGTATCCTAGGTCCCTGTCTGGTGTGTCCACACATGTGTGTGCGAGCACACGAGAGAGAGAGAGAGAGAGAGAGAGAGAGAGAGAGAGAGAGCGAGAGCGCGAGCGCACTCAATCTGCTTAAGTGCTGATCGGTTAGTGGTATTGGGATCAAGTTGAACTTTTAACCAAGGAAAATGGGGGGGTCCTTTTGTTGTTCATGTTAATTTTTAAGAAAACAACTTTATTGACTACATGGCAGGGCCAGCAGGCTGAGCAATGACAGGGCAGCACTGCCCAGGCTAAGGGTGGGTTTTGAGTCGCTCCTGCCCGTAGGCTTCGATCTTACCTGAAACAGGGATCTTCTGAACAGCTTTACTACCCACTGTTAATATGCAGAGTATGCTAATTTTGGGGTTGATGGGAGGGAGAATCTTTCAACATAGCTAGATTTTTGAGATAACTTGTATACATTTTTACAACAGGTACAACGAGCATCTCTAATAGTAATTTCTGAATATTCCTTTTCTTCCCTTTGCAGAATATCCAGTTATGGATAAAAATGAGCTGGTGCAGAAGGCCAAGCTGGCCGAGCAGGCTGAGCGATACGATGACATGGCAGCCTGCATGAAGTCCGTGACTGAGCAGGGAGCCGAGTTATCCAACGAGGAGAGGAATCTCCTCTCTGTCGCTTACAAAAATGTTGTAGGAGCCCGCAGGTCATCTTGGAGGGTTGTCTCGAGTATTGAGCAGAAGACGGAAGGTGCTGAGAAAAAGCAGCAGATGGCCCGGGAGTACAGAGAGAAGATCGAGACCGAGCTGAGGGACATCTGCAATGATGTGCTGGTGAGGAGCCTTTGCTTTAACTTCTTGTAACAAACTCAAGAGAGTACACACACACACACACACACACACACCTTTAGAAATTGGCTGTTGCAAATTAGAGATTCCCCACGTGTTGTTTGAAAGATAACTGGGATAGTTGTAGATCTTTTCTGTAAGATCACACAAACCATTCCACTGATGGTTTGTGTTCCTGTAGTGCAGGTGCTAATAGTCACACGTGTGTGTGTGGTGAGCACAAGAATTATTACATCCTCGTTGTTTGTAAGGAGTGTGGTAGACTGTGCAGAAAGCCGGTTTCTAGGTGCTCGACTGCCTTTGTGTTACAAGTCATTGACAAACAATGCAAGGCAGTTATGTCTAAGTGTTTGCACCTACTGTGTTGAAAAATTGTGCTTCTGAGCTAAGAGAATTAAACACTGCATTTGTGTATATTTCCTATTTTTTAAAGTGATTTTTTTCTTTTTTTGATTCAGAAAATTGAGATTATCTAATAGGCCAACCAATTAAATTTCTGGGGCAGGACCCATTTTCTGACCCAGGTCAAGGTTCAACCTTCAACCTCAGGTCGGTCCTGCTGCTGTGAGTCTCCTAAATGCTTAACACCTAGCAGCTAGGAGTCCTAAGACCATCTTTAGTGACAGAAAGGCTTGATTCCTAAATTGAACTTTTTTAAAAAAATATTGAATCCATTTTAAGATTCAAAAAAACTATGACACCAGGCAGTGGTGGAGCTTTAACCCCGCACTTGAGATCCAGGCAGGCGGAGCTCAGTGAGTTCCAGGACAGCCAGGACTGTTTCACAGAGAAACCCTGTCTTAAAAAAACAAAAGAAAAAGAAACAAAAGAAAAGGCTCTGAAATCACAGTCTTAAGTGGCTTTTTCTTTGGGTCCAGTTTTATTTGTTTAAGGGATTTCATAACTGCTACTTTACCAAAGTTGTAAAGTGCAATATTGAAGGCAAACAATTTATGTATATTAAAATTAGGAAATTAAGAGCGTTTAAAATTTGGAAAAACATCTATTTCATAATAAAAACTGTTGGGTTTGTTTCTGCTTTCCTTGCTAATTTATATATTACTGGGTTTATTAAGTCCTTGTGGGTTTTTTTCCTCCCAACTACTGGTTTCTACTGCGGTTTTAAAGGGTATATTTAACAGACGTAATTTCTCATAAAGAAAAACATTTTAGGGAGAAAAGGGACATGTTACATTTGTGTTCTGTGAGCTTGTTTGCAACTCAGGTAGGTGTTCCAGTATTCCCTCAGCAGGAAATAGAGAAGTTCTGGAATTGTGGAGGCTTTTCCTAAGGAAAGACTTAGCAGCTTCAACTGTGTCCTGCGGGGCGGGGCGGGGATCTGTAAATAGCTCCTCAAGGCTGTACAGGGTTCTTCTCACATCCTGCCTTCACGCGTGCCTCCTTCAGGAGAGAGCAAGCTTTCACAAGGCCTAAATGAAGTTTTACCTTGAGAGCTTAATTTCTTTACCATGTAAGTGGCTCAGAGAATTATAAACAAGCTTTTACTTCTAGTAGATTCTAGCTCTGGTTGTACCACACATGCTCAAATATGGTTTGACAGATTCTGGAGAAGAGGACAGTAGGTCGGTGGTGCTGCTGGTGTTTCAAGGCTGTTTGTGTTTTCAGTTGGAGAAGGCTCAGGAAACACCTCAATTTAAAGTGAACTTCTAGGTGTTACAGAGAGGCGATGCCTTCTTAGAAATAATTTTCATATAATCCCTTCCTCCTTTCTAGTAAATTAGAGTGATATATAGTTGGTACTTCTCTTAGGAAAAGTAAGTACACCATTGTGCTTTATGAGTCATGGGTGTGGTTTCTCTCTGAGAAAGGTGAGCCACTAATCTTGCTGATCCTGCCACTGGCTGGTAGGTAGCCTCGGTGCTCTGCTCATCCCCTGCCTCGTGCAGCCTCGTGCTAGCTGAGAAGAAGCATTTCTAGCTGTCAGCACCCGTTCTGACCATGGGCACTGACGCTTAATGCGAACCGGTGAAAGGTGGACCCACAGGAGGGATGTGTTACCACGTACAGAATTAGGTGTTAGTGTGTCTGTCAAACACGGGCTTTTCTTCACATAGGATGTACTCCAGCCTTTTCTTCCTTGTACTATTAAGTGGAATCTGCATGCAGTATTGAATCTGATATAGTATTCCTTTCTTTTTTAGATACTTAGCCCAAATTCTTCATGAGAGGACCCCAACACTAGAGATAATTAAGCTAAGGCCCCAACTAGGGTAGTTTATGTAAGTCATAATAAAATGAATTACTATATACTAGAAAGTCTCATTCAGTCATTCAGACTTTAGAATACCTATGGTTTTTTTTTTTTTAATTTGAACTACAATTTGCAGTGTGGTACCTTGAGTCCCTCTAAGAAAACTGAATTCAATTCAGTAGGAGTAGTGGGGGCTGTTTTTATCTCCAGCCCTCAGAATTACTATTTATTAATTAGTGGAGGAACAAGATAAGAAAACCAGGCAGCTTTTTTTTTTTTAATGTAGGTATGTGTCTTGAAGTTTAAAATTTGCTATGTAGTCTTGGTTTTTAGTTGAAAATCTCTAGGTGACTCCTGTTGAAATTCAGGATTCAAGAATTTTTACAATGGTTGGAACCCATCTTTACTGCTTTCTAGATAGTATTTATAGGACTTTATTTGCGGCTTGGTGTTTTAACATTCAGAAGAGCTAAGGTGATGGTCTAGGTGCTTCCCAGGAAGAAGTAGTGGAGTTGTCGGGAAGCCTTCCTCGGGCATTGACTGTTTTCATCTTAGGGGATAGCATTCAGTGAGGGGTTTTACATAGATCGGAGTCTGAGATAAAGAGAAAATGGGGGTGAAAGAAAGCGTGGGAAGGAAGGTGGTGCTGGTTTGAACCACCCTTGACTAGACCAGAGCAGCGCGTTACCTACCTGTCCTTTGTGAGCAGCACTAGGAGGTTAGGGTGTCTGTGAGACGGGGGCGTGGACGCTCAGAGGACGCCTGGGAAAGCCCAGCAGTGGGTGGGGGGTGAGTTCAGGTGAGAGTCAGAATGCGGAATACGGCCCTAGAAGTCACAGCCCGAGGAAGAAGGTTGGCTTCCGAAACAGTGAGCTAGCCCTTAGAAGACATTCCCTTTCTTTCTAGCTTATATGTTTGAATTGAGGTTGGAAATAAGCTGTGTTAGGGTTGTATGAACTTACAGAGGCTTTTTGGGTTTTTCCTTAAGCACAGTCGGTTTATCATTGCCGTACATGATCAGCATGTCTTTTGGAAGTGGCACGCAGCTGCTTCCTAACTGGTAACTGATAGTCCAAGTGTGTGGTCATAGTTGGCTTTAACCGTTTGCTTTTAAGTAAAGCAGACAGGTGCCCAGTGCCTGGTTTTTCAAATGGGATCTAAACCCATATGCTTTTCCTGCATAGCTCAGTTCAGAAATAGTTTTCTTACAGGTCTCATCTTCATAAATCTTATCTTCTATAAGATAGTTAAAAATGAGAACTTAAATGTTTGATAGCCTGTCGGTTCAGAATGTCGTTTTTTTCTAATTCTTTAGTTGTCCACGAACATCTTACCATACTTGTATTTCATTAGGAACTTAATATTCGGTAATCATGGCAAGTATAATGGCATGACTGATAGGAATTTAGTGGTAAGTACTGGGTTCGTTCTCGGTAAGCTTGTGATTGCTTTTAGAAACCAAGGGGCAGTGGAGTAGTTGCTAAGCCTAGCTCATCTCTGGCACTTTATCCAACTTTTGGGCATTGATGTTTGTTATGAAAAGAATTTAACCAATTAAGTAATGCCAAATTAGTGACAGATGAAGTGAAGAACTTCTCGTTTTGTAAAAACAAAACCCCTTTCAATAATTTCTCTCAGAGACGGTACTAGGAAGAGAAGTGGGCACTGATCAGATCTTGAAAGATCTATTATGATGTTAGGTAGAATTGAGGATGTCCGAGGTCGTGGAAAACCTCTGACACAAAGAAACAAAGAAATGACACAAGCTTTGCCTGTGGGAAGTAGGTAAATATGTGACAAGAGTTGTCTTATAAATAAATTTAGAACTTGGGGAGGCAGAGGCAGACTGAGCAACTCAGGCTCCATAGTGAAATCCTATCTCAAGACCCCCACCCCCCAACAAAGGGAAATGTAAAGGAACTGTATTTGTTGCTTTTCTCATTGTAACTTTGGGGAAGGAAAGGAGGGTTATTGGGGCTCAACCATTTAAGGGTGTGGTCCATTATAGTGGCAGGAAAGGAGGGTTATTGGGGCTCATCCATTTAAGGGTGTGGTCCATTATAGTGGAAGGCGAGCAAAGCAGCCTGTACCGTTGTGTCTGTAGTCAGGTAATCACCCTTCTCATGGGATGGTGATGCTGCCCACATTGAGTGTAGGTCTTCCCTATTCAGTTAAAACCTGAAAACAGTTTCACAGCAGTGTCTAGAGGTGTGTCCTTGCTGTGGTGAAACACCATCACCAAAGCAACTCAGGGAGGAAGGAAGGGTTTATTTTGAAGACTTTCGCTGGAGGCAGAAACTGATGCAGAGACTGTAGAGGGATGCTGATCGCTGACTTGCTCAGCCTGCTTTTTTAGAAAATGGTGTTCTCGACCTTCCACACACTGCAACCCCTCATGGTTCATGTTGTGGTGACCTCCACCCATTTTGTAACTACTTCAGAACTGTAATTTTGCTACCACTACGAATCATAATGTAAATATTTGTGTTTTCCAGTGGTCTAAAGCGACTGCTGTGAAGAGGTCCTTTGCCCAAGGGGTCATGGCCCACAGACTGAGAACCACTGCTTATAGACCCTAGGATCACCAGCCCTGAATCCCACCACCCAGAATGGACTGGGCCCTCCCCTGTCAACCACTAATTAAGAAAATGTGCTCCAGCTGGGTCCTAAAGGGGTATTTAGCTTATGAGAAGTTTACATAAAACTAGTTGGGACAGTTGGTCCCTTGTCAGCTTGAGACACAATCTTTGTTGAGCTGTAGCCTCCCTTTGTG